CGAATTTCATGCTTCACTTTAGTTAACTAATTACCGTTTCGGAGTAGGTAGTATATATATAACTACTGTGTTATATTTGTATGTATCTAATTATTCATATCTATACACACATTTTTCTTCGTCCCACAATTCATCTTTTTTCTGATTCACTCTTTTGTTATCCTTTGCAGATCTCGGCGCGAAACATTTTAATGGGAAGAAGTTTGTTCCGTAGATTCAGATTGTAAATATACCCAAAATATAAAAGTTTTACCTCGTACAATTTGTTCTTTTTGAAATGTCTAAGGTTCAGCATTTTGGAATAAGTCTTATTTGTGTTGCACTGGCAGTTGTTAGACGTTAGATCATGCCGTCCTCAAGTAAGCATTGATATAGGAGAGTGGAGCATGAAAGAGCTTTCGGAATGCAGTAGCAGGCAATCATAAAATTGCGTTTGCAAAGTATGTAGGGATAAGACTGTTCACGTAGGTAACTTGATCGATCAGTTGACAACTTGCGTAAATTTCGGACAAGCTAGAATTGAATGGTCGTTGGAGGGGCTTGGGGGATTTCAAAAATCGGGTTTAAATTTAAAAGTGGATTGAAATCCTACTCCGATTTCGGCTTGATTCCGGTATGCCCTTCCGGTGCCGGCACCCCACCGGTAACAATACCGGCAAGCTGCCGGCAACCTACCGGTACTTTTATGACAAGTTACCGCCAAGCTACCGGAACCGGTCCGGATCCGGTCCGGAACCGGTTTGCCACTAGGGAAGAAGCCATTGGTTGAGACCGTTTGCTCGCTGACCTGGCCATTTTTTTTACGGAATATTCGTGGAGGGATGTATGATCTATGATGACGACTAACGGATAGACAACCCAAAGGCGGGCAAGAATAGCTACTGTTGTTTTATTTTTGTAGCTAACTCTGGGCCGCTCACACGAATTATGAGGGACTAGTAGTTTGAATAAGGTGTGGATTTCTCAAATAAGGCGATGGTGAAAGTTTTAATATAGGTTGCTGGTGAAATATTCCTAGAATAACTAATATGAAAAATTAGCGAAATCTACAAAAACCTCGCCGTGGTGTAGGGCGGTCTGTAAGACAACAGCCGAAAAATTTCCACAGCTATGTACAGTCTAAAGGCTCAACAAGAAATGCCGTAAGTCCGCTATCCACTAAAGACTATGGTATTGTCACTGATGACCAGGACAAGGCAGACCCCCCGGGGGAATACTTTGGTAGTGTACATAGAATGGATCGTGGGGTATGAGTAGATCTGACTCTGGTGCATCCTTCTCCTCAGTTAAACAAGCGAAACCTCTCAGAGGAAAGCTTGCGTAAGTACCTGCAGGAATCAAACAGCCACAAGTCAGCGGTCCCAGCTGGCATTCATCCAGCTATCATCAGGCCGTCGGCGGATATCATAGCTCCATCTGTATGCAGGCTGTACAGGTCCTCGTTGGACCTGAGTAAGCTGTCTCAGGACTGGAAAGTCGCCGCAGTAGTGGCACTACGTGAGAGTGGGCCTAAGTCGGCTGTACAGAACTACAAGCCGGTAAGCCTAAATAGTATCCTATGTAAAGTCCTGGAAAAGATAATCCGTGACCACGTCTGCCAGCACTTGTAAGTCAAATCTCGCAAATCGAGCAACGCGTAGCCAATTCAAACGAATCCCAAAACCAGAACAAGATTGATTCGTAGCTTCTACGGTACTAAATTGAAATGCACAAAGGATACAAATATATACGAACCTCAAGTATGCGGCCAAATAGACTTCACAGTAAAACCCAAAGGTCCAAAGCCCCGTGGCTCAAGCACGACAGTCAGAAACGGTTCAAGGCCAAATTCAAATGTCTCACATGGATAAACAAACGTGAAAATGTGTGGTGTATGAGCGAGCTTTCCAAGATAATGTTAAATATAGTCAAATTCAAAAAGCACGTTGAACATTTAGAAGAATTTTCAGTATTCGTTCTTTAAAGCACTTACTGGAGCACCCCATGTTAAGTCTGGGGGAACATGGATTCCTGAAAAAGAGATCTTGTCTGACCAGTATCCTGTGCTTCTCAGATGAAGTAACTCGACGACTGGACGAAGGTAAGCATGTTGAGGTATGCTACCTCGACTTTAGCAAGGCGTTCGACTCCGTTAATCGCCGTCTTTTGCTATGCAAGTTGGAGACGTTCGGCATAGGTGGACCAGTATCTAGGTGGCTGGAGGACTTCCTCTCCCACAGGACGTTTTACGTCAAGGTGGGGGACAGGTGCTCCAGTTTGGTGTACGTCACCTGTGGTGTACCTCAAGGATCTGCCCTAGGCCCGGTCCTGTTCTTGTTATTTATTAATGACCTGGCATCCACTCTTCAATTGCCCAGCTTTATTTTTGCGGATGATGTGAAGATTGTTGGATCTGAGGGTAAGGCGGACTTGGGCAGGTAAATAAGTACCGTCCCGAACTGTGCACACAAATGGGACTTACCTCTGAAAGCTGGAAAAAGCCATTTGTTGTCGAGGGCAACAGAGAGCCTAACTGTCGCTCATGATCAAGGGCTGTTCACCGTATAGGCAGCCAGTAGAGTTAAAGACCTGGGGATCATCATGAAAAGTGACTTCAAATGGTCGGAGCAGTGCAACGCGGCTGCGCATAAGGCTCGTGGGGAGCTCTTTAGGCTGCGATCAGCTTTGTCTTGCCGGAAGCCGGAGGTATTCGTACCTATTTACATGGCTATAGTACAACCTCACTTAGAAGGTAGCGTGCAGGCTTGGTCACCCTTCTACAAAAAGGACGCCGCCTGCCTAGAGAAAGTCCAACGTCTAGCCACGCGAATGGTTGAAGGGCAGAGGGGTAAGACTTACGAGCATAGACTCTGTGACATGAATCTCTTCTCGTTGGAAAGGAGGAGAAGTCGAGGAGATCTCATAGAAACGTTCAAGGTAATGAAGGGCTTTTCTGGCATTAGACCAGATAGTCTATTCCAATTGGCCGTAGACTCCAGAACATGGGGACACGAAAAGAAGTTGATAAGAGCCCGATCTAGGTTGATAGCTAGATCGCACTTCTTCAGCAACAGGGTTGTGAACAGTTGGAACGGTCTGCCTGGTGGAATGGTAGATCTGCAGACAGTCCAATCCTTCAAATGTGCCCTTGATCGCAAGTGGTACGAGATCTTTCCTTGTAGTGAGCCTTAAGAATATCAACTAGATGGATGACGGGTAGCACTGTGGTCCTTCTAGAGTATGTTTTAGCAGACTTTTTCCCTCATTGCATACTGTCTCAGTGAACGCTCACGATGCATAATGTCTCTCGCAGTTGATGTGCGATGAGGTTTTCCGTTTCCCTCTCATTTTTAGCAAGGATTCGACGAAATACACTCGGCAGTGGTGGGTGCATAACTGGTGTGCATACCATCGAAGGAATTCTGGACGCTCGATTGGCCGTGGCCATTACCTGTCCTGTGCAGACTGAACTTAACTGAACTGAACTGAACTGAACTGAAGCTGAACTGAACTGACTTTCATTGTGCGATTACGGGTGTAATGGGTTCGACCTGTGCGATCTGTCGCGTCCGGCTGCGGTGCCGTAGGTGCCACTCATCTTCGGTAGTCGTTTTTTCTCATGTGCCTACTTGGCTGTGTATTTACTTATCTGTTTCTTGAGCCTACAGGGCTCTGTGCCATGTGTTACTTGTTTTCTTCACTTGGCACCGTGTCTTGAGTTTTGTGTTGTCTATTAAGCCTTATGCCTTCACCATGTATATCTCACCAGAGTCATGACTTGTCTGCAGACAAGTCGTATTATCGAGTCTCAGTGAGTTGAGACTCGTGTGAAGTGTGCGTCATCGTGAAATACAACAGATATACGCGTGTTCACCCGTACTACTGTGCTGCCACCAGTCGCCACGCCGCTGCCTAGGTAAGTGAAGCGGTCAACAACTGTTAGTTTCTCCACGGAGAGGTGCACTGGGCACCCAGGATGTTTGTCCCCACCAAAAAGGCGTAGTAAATGAATAATCGGTCACCATGTAGCGGCTTCGCAGATCCCAAACCGACTAAAATGCAATTGCGAGCTTAGAGCTTAGGTGCTCCTTGTTTATGAACAGGCATTGGTACTTAGGTCTACTTTGGAATCACAGCCGCTCCCCAGGAGTGTCTAATTCCGGCGCCAGGTTTTCCTCTAGCTATAAGCAACCTTAATTTTCGAATCTTTCTTCTCAGTCACATAAAGTGGCTTATAGTCAGGACAGTTGTACTTCAAAGTACTTCCACACATCCAGACCCGACTCAACCAGTGTGGCATCACAATCTTCTTCGATGGATCAAATGGGCCTATTTTGGAAGTCCTGTAGGGCATTTGGGTGACTCACCAGTCATCTATTAAGGTACGCAACTGGTCAAGCAAACGTTGACCAGGCTCTTCGATAGGTCAGGAATTCGGCTTAGTCTCGGTTCCTTCAACCGACTGGTTGTTTGAACTCTGTTTGTTTAAGTCTACCTGGTACCGGTATAGTCAACATCATCGCCATCTTACATGACGCCACCCAGGCGGCAAGGTGCACTCTAGCTCTTCAGCTCTGGCAATTAGCTCGTTCAGTCTCCCATCTCCTGTCAGTTATACAGGATAGCCAATATTATTACTAAAACACGTCAATTGCTATCATTCTGCGCGTTCCATTCGTTGGCTGGGAATCGAGTCCGTACAAACTATGCGAGCGTCTAAACCGGCCCCTAATGGATTGCGGACCCCACGTTTCGTCCCGCTGCCTTGCGGATTGAGCTTTGAATATCTGAATGCTCCCTCAAGAATCCCAAGTGCTTTTGCATGGGTCTCCTGTCAGCATTGCAGACGCAGACAAATCATGGAATCGGACTATCTCACTCTTTATCCTCGATTGTACTGTGATTTGTTTGACACGGCCTGAAATAAGGCGCGTGCGGAATGAATATATATATATATATATATATATATATATATATATATCCCCAATCGAGCATCAAACTGGAAACCGTTGACTTTCAGTATGCCACGTTCATTCGAGGCTTATATCTTGGTGACTGTTGGAATTAAACTGTTTCCACGATGGTTACTACAATCATTGCGTACTTCTTTCTTGAATACAAGCAGTGACGCGTCCCGTGATGACGGAATACGCTCCTCGTTCCAAATTACACGGATCAAGGCGGTGAGTAATTTTATCAACGCATCACCACCTGCTTTGAAGAGAACTGGAGGAAGTTTGTCGGTACCGGCCGCTTTCTCGCGCTTTATTAATTGGGCGATCAACTCTACTTCCACTTTCGATGGGGGATCAAGTGATACTGCCCAAGGAATCGCAGTTGTCTGGACATGAGTAAATACATTGGAGCGCTGCCAGCTAAACTGCTTTTTGAAGTATTCGGTCCAACGGTCAAGCCTTTGCTTTCGTCATAAACACGCTCTCCATTTATATCGCGTATTGCTTCACTGGCCGGGGTTCGTCGTCCACTGGTGTCGCAAATAAATTCGAACAGTCTGTGGCTGTTACCTGAAGCAGCTGCTGCTTCCATTTCTCCAGCTACTCTGACCCACCAATTTTCGCAGTCTTTCTGAAGGCTTTCTGTGACTTGCCTTTGTAGATGTCTTTGTATCCTGTTCATCTCCTTACGGTTCGAGAACTGACGCTTTTGCTCTGATTGACCGATCGACTCTTGAGATATCCAGTGTCTCACAGGAACATCGGATCTAAGACTACGGGCGAAACCTAATGGCACGTGCATCGCTTGTTAGATATGGATCCATTGCTCGACCACGTTACTGTTCGTCGTAGATCCTAGTTCATGTGATAGTTTCTGTTCATGACTAATGGGAACTTCTGGTTCAGACGAACGTTACACGGCCAACCGGTTTTGCGGTTTGTGTTGATGACCATAGAGCTGGAGCGATAATCACATTAAAACTAATTCATGGTCTCACTCCACGTACGTGGGCCAGTAGGACCTCCGGTTCTTGACAGAACTGCACCTCTGACAGCCTATTGTGTAATGACCGATCTGTCGAGTTAGATCGCAGTTTCGCTGCGCGATGCGAGTTGTGTCGGAACTTTGTACTAGACGGAAATAACCGATTATTTGCACAAAACTGGAGAAGCCTATCCCCATTCTCTGTGCACTGAGTGGGTAAGGTACAACGCCCACCTAATCAAGCTTCTGATGCATTAAGTTTGCCAACTTGTGCAATAAAACCACCAGCTAGCACTGCAGTGTCAGAGCATTTGCTTCTGCCAACAAAAGTGGTGAGTTCATCATCTTTCTGCATGTCAGAACTGCAGTCTGCTGGGGCGTATGCAGAGATCACAAACATACTGTGCTTAACACAACTATCCTTTCGAACGCCGACTGACCCTTGGAGTCTTACAGCACAAAACGACTATTAACCGATATCTAGTCTAAAAGAGCAGCCTTGGCCTTGTCACTCAAGACTATTCCTACACCACGTTGACCTACAGCTCGAGCTACTTCATCTCGTGAAGTGCGCAGCAAATACGTCGAAGACATACCAGTAGCAGTTAGTTGAATCACACTACTCGAAGTGGTGTATCCATAGAGAGCATTATCAAAATAAAACAATGGCCCATCTTTGAGATTTCATATCTTTTGGATGAGGAAGTTCCTGGAAGGGACGTAATCTCTCAGGGTCGGGCTTCATCAGATCGTGTAAAAGTTCATAAACCAGGAGTTTAAGTTCCTTCGTACCAGTGATGTTTTTTTCGTTCAGAGTAAGCCTGTATTTCCCCACAACATTGAGAAAATTAGTAAGATTCTTATCGTGATCATCTTTGTTTGCGCCGCATATAGTTATACTACCGATGTAGGCGAAGGTTCTCTTTAGGTCCCTCTCGCGGGTGATTTTGTCGATAGCACTCCGAAAACGAGCGACACTATTCGTCACTCTGGATGGTATCCTTCAGAATTGATATAAATTACCACGGGCTTCAAAAGCAGTATATGGCCGATCTTGTTTTCCTATAAAGACTTAATAATATGCGCTTCACAGATCAAATGCACTAAAATGAGGTGCGTAATATTTTGGATACCTTTTCATCGATTCTGGATAATGGATAGGTGTCCAATGACGTATATCGATTGGCAGTTTGACTATATTTAACTAACATGCGTCTTTTGTGTCTTTCGTTTGTCGTTACAAGGACTTATGCGCGCCGGAGTGAAGTTGACCTCTGATTGGTGCTGTCCTTCAGAAGTCGCCGAATCTTCGATCGAATAAATCTCTTATTTTTAGGAGTATGAAGCCGTGGTTCGGTTGCAATGAGCTTGCAATCCGGTTGCAAGTTATCAAGAAAAGAAGAAGTTTCAACACGTGAAACTTACTCTACAACGGAAGAGGGCCGGTTTGTTACCACTGGGTGGTATCTCTACTGCTTTGTGAAGTTTCAAAAATCATGCCCCACTAATACATTCGCACACCGATAAGAGAGCACAGAGTCTGAAATTGTCGTACGAATTATTCTTAAGACTTATATTGACTAGACAACGAGCTTTCTTTTGACTGATTGTTCTTGCGAAAGCCATGAAGATAACATTAGATGATTGTGTGATCTGAAGACGGTGACGTTGTACCAAGGATTCGGAGATGCAAATGTCAGAACTCTCCATATGTATCAGAGCTTCCTAGGGATCTTATTCACGGTGAACATTGTTAACGAGTTTGAGAGGCAATCTGAAGAAGAGGCAGCGACCCTATTTGAAGGTACAAGTGTTGCAGCAGAGATTATTCGTTTCTCTGAAGGCGATCGGCAAACACATTCGAAATGTCCTTTTTCTCCGCAGGTACTACAGACCGCATCCTTAACAGGTCATTTGAACCGATGTTCCCCGTTTTTTCCACAGAAATTGCATTTGGTACTAATTGCCACTGACCTCGTTTCCGTAAGTCGCTGTCTTCCTTGAAGCCGAAAGGACAAACATCAGTTGATTTGTTAGTTGCTGACGCGGAAGCCGTATAGTACCGATGGTGTCTGTAAGGCATTTGATTGCTGTTGGGCCATTTCGAACGACCGGGCTAATTCCAAAGCATTTTGTAAGTCCAGTGGTTTATTTTCAAGTTGTCGGACAATGTTTGACTGTATCTCCCTTATGAAAGTGTCTTGAATAGCATCTGTTGGATTTTGCCCAGCCTTCATGGCCCGAAAGTTACAATATCTAGCTGGGGATTTCAGCTTTTGGACGAATTGATTGAAATCCTGACCTGTCTCCTGCTTGCACGTTTCGAGCAGATAACGCACAAAGACTTCACTGAGCTGCGTGATAAACAATTTTTCCAAGGTTTGAAAGGCATCGTCGTATGAGTTACATCCAGCCACGTAATCGTGTATGGCCGGAGCGATATAGTGGTATAGGAAGTCCAGCTTCTCGGAATCGTCTACGCCAACTTTTTCTAGCAGTCTGTCGAACGTGCAGAGCCAGTGTCGCCATATTTTCGAAGTAGTTGAGTTTTGAATCTGCATCAGATGGCTAAGGATGTAGATAGCGTTCCATTCAAAGATCAGTTTTGTGCTGAGTAAACCGGTAGGTACTAATACGTTTCGGTCTTTTGTGAAACCCGCGCACTCAATCTCAGCTTGCGATTCCCGATCGCTCCAGCTCGCTACGAAAAATCAGAATGCAAAACCGGACTCGCCAACAATGTCATTAACAGAAATCACTGTGCTGTATATAAAGCGAATATCGAATATTCCCGAACTCGGGCGTCCAGTTAGACTCAAGCCCTGTGGAGCCAATTAGGTTGATGGAAATATTTTGCCGGATTGACCATTGATCCGTTGGCCCAGTTTGCGTCGGATTGTAGATGAAAAAGTGTTACGTCATGTGTCGTCCGATAATTTATTTGTTATTGATTGTTCAATCCGGCCTGGCACGCTCGAGTTGATTAATGGCTTGTCTAAAGTTTTTTTCTTCCCTTTTAACATCCTAACAGGTACGTGCTTACGAAATGCAAATGGTTGAGACTGATAGAAGGCATAGGCCTAGAATATAGGCTTTATTTGACGTGCAACTGAACGGCAGGAGCTGAAAATAATAAGCAGGGAAGTTCAGGAGAATAGTTGTAAGAAAAACTAAAGTGGATACAAAATAGCAACTGGATGTGGCACTGTTTCAATTTTAAGTCTTGTCACAGGTTTCACACTATGCATTGCGCTTGTAGATTGATGGGGCGATGTATTTGGTTACGGTCGAAAGAATTAACGGCAGCAAAAGGGCTGTTGAGAGTTCGTCGATTGGTTGTCTAATGCGTTGGACGAGTGAGAGTCGACGTTGAAAAAACCGAGTGGAAGTATGTTTTATTACAAAAACTGATTGAATAGCCATAAACGCACAACTCAGGTAAACATAAGAACGGAATTGTTCGTCTTTGAAATTTAATCGGCTTGTAGTTAGAATACGCATCCAAAGTAGTTGAAAAGGAGCAGAAATATGAAATAAGGCGGTGCAGTTATTATTATTGTTATTCTGTTTTTCAATATATGCTCGCTCATGAGTGTAGTGAAAAGAGTTTACCCTATACCCTAAAAGGCCCACTGCGCTATTAGGGACATCTGGCAACCAGATCCTGAGACTTTGAGTGGGTGGTGAACAACATGAAGTCCTAATAGTTCACGACATTGAATAAACACGCCACAGTATTTGCGCCATATGCCCTAAATGTGCTATACATAATTCATCATCTCTAACCGATAAAAATCTCCATGTTCCGCATTCCTACAGGAAAGTCGGGAACTACCAACTTAAACTATTGCCGACGTCAGCTTCACACCTGGGTGCTAAGTGATGATCGTTTCTTCCAGCTATGCTCAGAGCGCGCAAGTTGCGCCTGGTAAGGCAGACGATGGGTATGCATACGCAAAAGGTGTCCGAACCATTGGAAGTGGTGCAGAGTGATTAAATCACTCCACACATAACAGACAACAACATACTCCATCGTTGCTTACACGGTGTTGAAACTCACTTCTGATTAAAACGGCTTCTCCCTGTGGTTGCATGCGAAAAGAGCAACAAGAAGGTTACGATTAGCAGTTTAGGAGTCGCTCACTGAAAGTAAACGAAGGCCTAACACGCGTAATAAACTTTTGACTGGGATTCAGTTTCGCAACACCGCCAATGTGGAAAAGGTTTTATGCACCTTCAGAATGTGAATATAAAAACCTACGAAGTCCTGTATGATTTCAATTGCATCGTGACTACACGCGTCTGATGTGAAGTACATATGTAGTCGTTATTTTAATGCAATCCAACCTGTGCCATAAACAGTCAACTTATTATTTAAGTGTGTTCCATTGTGATTTCTCTTTGTCAGACAGCAACGAAAACAACAGTACTAACAGTAATAATAATGATACGAATTAGGTAATGCAACAATTTTGATGTGGTCAGTTGTTTCGTTCCCCTGGCATACGCATTAAATAACGAAACATGTCAAAAGAAAGCTTGATATGTACCAGTCACGTACTGTAATGAAAATAACTGCGTTGCGTCTCTTACAGATTTCAGCAAAAACACAAGACTTTTGTTATCATCACCAATTCTCAGGAAATTACGAATCCATATGACTGAATCAGTAACACCGCCTGAAGAAAATAGCGAACAAGCATACCTGAAGCAAGAATCGGCTCAGCTACTTCTAGCTGAGCGTTACAAAGATATTCTCGATCTGACTGAAGCTGACCGTGAACGTTATAGTACCCTTTCCAGAAAAATCAGTGATGCTCTATCCGATGATAATCCTTCGATGCTAAAGCATATACTATCTAAACACATTCTTGAAAATCCCGAAAAATTGATTCGAATGAAGTTGCCATCTTTTCCACTTCCTTTGAAAGAGGAGCTTATGGTCCGTAGGATTATGGATAGTTGTCCTTTTAAATCAGCTATAAGCTGCTTCGGAGGTAAATACTTTATGTTGTTTTGCAAAAACAATAAAAATGTACCGAATAGGTTTTGTCCTCGGAGGGATTTTTGGACTTTTTTCTGCCAGTGTGGATCCAATGAGCACCATTCACGGAGGCGAAACACCGACAACTCGTGAAGTTGCACGGGAAATGTATGCACGTTCCCTGTCTCATGCCAAAAGTTTCGCCATGATTGGTGCTCTATTCGCAGGCACCGAATGTGTGCTGGAGAGTGTAAGTCTAAATCGGTTTCTCCTAATTGCTTAAATCTGCTAGCATCGTGGAAAAAGCGATTTGTTAAACAGTACGTTGTCTGGTGCAATTGTCGGCAGTGCCATAGGCTTTCGAGGTTTGTTTTTCAATTTTTTTCCGACTGTTATTTACATTACGTGATTTAAATTCCAATCCAATTTTTCCATTGCAGCTGGTTTACAACCTGGTGTAGTCGGTGCAGCTGGATTCGCCTTGTTCTCCACTGCTATTGACTATTATTTCAGACACAAGTCATAACTTATCTCCGGTTGAACTTCAACCTGTACAGTTAGGTTTTCGTTTTGTCATGGTACTCTACCAAATACAATGATAAACCATGGTATTCAGTCTTCTTTTTCAATTTTGATTTTAGTTCGGAGTGATTTGACAAAACCGAGTTTTTCCTTTCCGATCGTTTCAGATGTCACGTGACCATTCCTCAGGCCGACAGTCCCATCGCGATTCCGGTCGGTATTCAACACACAGTTCCGTGTCCCGCTACGGACACGATAGACATCAGAGCAAACATTCTAACGGAGAGGTAAAACGAAAAAGTCATCCTCATCGTAGCAGCCAGTATCGTTCAGATTCAAAATATGAATCTAAAAATGATCACCGTCATCGGGAGAACAAAGAATCACCTAAGAACTCTCTCTCGTCTGATTACGAACGGTCCTCACATCGTTCGCATAGGAGACGAAAAAAACGAGAATCCACAGAAAGAAACGGTTCTTCTAGTTCATCGTCCACTAGTGTGGCCGGAAATGATGCCGACGAAGAGGAGGTGGAGGAGGAATCCAGTCTTCATCTTAAAGCTATGGCAGTTGGTGTGCCCAAAGAATTAATGGCCATGTCACTGGAGCAGCTGCAAAAGTTGCTTGAGGAGAGACGTCAGAAAAAAGTGAGTTTCGAGGGCAATGCTGCCAGGAAGCTAAAATTTAAATCAGGAAATCCTAGACGGACTGCGAGCTGATTCACCTTTCAAACGTTCACACAAGCTTAATATTTTACAATCTTTGTAGAATTTGAGTCTACTGATTTGCCGTTCATCCTGATTTTCCTCGGAGGTAGTCAAAAAGTCAGTTTACGTCCTAACTACTTAACGAATATCAACATAACATGCTTCCTTACATAATCTTTTTCAGCACCCACCAACCGCGGTTGGTTTCGTTTGCAGATTTTTCTTAACCTTCTGCCCTCCATTTTTCTCAGGTGTCTTACTCAATGAATAGAATAACACGAGTTAAAATCTCATTGAACTTCTGTCTCTCTCTGCACAGGCTCTGCTCAAAGTTCTTGAAACGCCTGAAGAGAAACGAGCCCGACGACTGGCCAAGAAAGAGGCAAAAGAACGCTGGTGTCGCGAGCGAATGGGGTGGGACCAGGAATATTTGGGCTATACGAATGAAGATAATCCGTTCGGTGATCACCGACTTTCGGAGTCTTTTGTGTGGAAACAAAAATTGGAATCCGAAGGTTTGTCTCACTTGTCCAAAGAGGAGGTACGTCTTTGAGATTGCTGGTTCGTTTAGCTGATAGGAGGCATCTAGATGAACGCAAACGATGATGATTAAAAATCACTGACAAACCGGCTTCGGTCAATTGTTTATTTTATTTTTCGTTTGCTTCCTTTCATTAGTTCTTCTCATCCGGTGCACTCATTATGATTGAAAACACCGCAAGTGCAGCTTCTATCACATATGACAAAGAACTGATTCCTAGAGTTTTCGTTGTTCATAATTTACTGCTGCCTCGCCGAACGATTCTCTTGTTGGTAACTTCAGTTTGTCAATAGTGACAAGCCTCGAGTCCAAATTTTTCGTGCAATTAAGAACTCTCGTAACATCAGTCGCGAACGGTCGTCTGCTGTTGGCTATTACCTACTTTTTCATGTTTTAATAGTCCCATGCTTGTACAGTCGAAGGGGCATACACCTAGTCTCAAAGTACCCATTGCAGTGATTAATGATTATCAGTAACCTAACCGTGAGACTTGGAATGGAGACCCACATGAAGTCCCCATAGGTCGGGCTTAGTAACAAGTTGAGCAATAGAGAATTACCGTTTATGACCAATAGAGACGGTTTCGAACTTCATACCTTCAGAGTAATAAATGTTCATAACACTCGGCCATTAGGGACTGCGGTGGAATTGGTTTGTTTCAGTTATCAAAAGCAACTGGTATCGCTAAGCAATGGAAAAACCTTGAACATGTTGTTTCACCTAAATCAAACCGAATAAACGACACTCGAGATTCTTCAACATGATCTAACTTCAGACTTTACCTTAGCAGCGTGGCTTTATATTGGTCGGTTACCACCGTCTGCCGTCGCATGTCCTCGTGAACAGTGATCAACTCGGTGTTGTGTGTGTATGTTGACTGTAAACCAAACTGAAAGCAAACATAGCGCTAACAAAACAAAGCGATAACAAATCGGATTGAAGTTCGCAAGAAACCTCATCTCGGGTTTTCCGGCCTGTTGCAATATTTGGTCAATCACTTCAAAGTAAAGAGATGACTGACGGAACATCGCCCTGTCTTTGCATTTGGAGATCGGCCGTTAGCACAACTTTTTAAGTCCTACAAAGCAGTAGAGTTCTCTGGAGTATGGGAACGCTTTGAGTCGTCAGATGGGATCCTGTGCCGAGTATTTGATTCGTGGCCTCTGGATCCCCGTCCATTCCACCGAATCTGGATTCATGTGCTTGAGATACGTTGTTTCGCGGTGATTTAAGTCTCAAGACTATCTTCCTGTTTCCACCCGCCCGTCGCACGGTTTATCAGTACACAGTCGCTGCATCAAGACGTAGTTTCTTGGAGTGGCAAGTAAGTGCTGGACGGAAGTAAAAAACCATCCAAAGACAACTGATTGCCAGTCACAGATGATGCCCCTACCTGTCACCCCATACACACCTAGTCAATTCGTTGATTAAGTTCCTTGCATGATTGCATATTTCGTCAGTCGTCTGGCTATTGGATGTTGGCATGTATAATCACTGATAACTTTCATGACAGTTAAGTTATTTACGTTATTCTTGAGTTTAAGTTCGTTGTCAGGTTTCTTTTCAAAACATGTATTGTCCATGATTAACTTTTACCATCCGCTTATGTTCCCCACTTTTACCGTATTCTCTGCTCGTTTTACGGTGATCATGGGTTTTTATTACTCAGCTGTAACCCACTGCATTGATGGTGTTATAAAACCTCTTATATTTGGTCACTCATTGTATCCCACCGTCTCGATCCATCCGTTTCACATATTTCTGTTCCTTCTTCTGATTGACCCCGGTGATTCACAGATTCAAGCACTACAAAAGAAAAAAATGGAAGAGAACAAGTTGGAATTGAAATCTGTGCGAAAACGCCGTGCTGAACGAGAACGGGAACGAGAAGAACGAGAGAAAGAATTAGAAATGATGCAGCGGGACAAGGAAGCTGAATATTATCGGTCATGGGAACAACAAGAAGATACATTCCATTTAGAACAGGTAAATTGATCGCAAGCTAAAATCGCTCAATAACGTTGTTTTTGTCCTATCCCTAGGTAGCCAGTCAACTCCTATGATGTACACTGTCTTGTGTTGTCTTCACTATCGTAATCATAATGACTGCAATAGGGCGATCTAGTGAGCTGAAGTCAAGGATGGGACACATCCTTATTCTCAGCCGAGAATGCATTGGCATTGGTTACTGTTTTCCAAAGCTACACAAAAAAACAAATAGAATTGTTAAGACTAATAAACAGACAGCACTGACAGGCAGGGAAGTGAAGCGAAGGTAATTCTAAATACACCTGCTTCACTGATCGCAAGTTTAAGCTTTGCCACCAAGTATGTTCATCTAGTATATACCTGTAGACCTCACTCAGGAAGGTGAGTAATGTAATGCACGGGTGATTTCGTTACCCAGGATTTCCGTATTTTTGCCACATCATAAACTGTAAACTCTAGCCAATACAAAAGTCAACATTGGTTTTAACAAGCAACGCCCGTCGAGGTAGTCTCTGCAGAGACGTAACTCGATGGCGTTAGAACACTTCTTTTGACGATTCATCTCGATAACTCCACTTAAAACCACAGCATCTGATGGTCCCACAGTATTTGGCCAATATCGTGAATGCACCGGCGCTCAAGTACACGCAACCTCCATAAATCATCCTCGTTTCTGAATCACAGTAAAACTGTCGTAGCTACTGCTGCTGTCTTTATTGGGTTCTTAGGAAGAGGCTGAGTGCGCCTTTAGTGTTTTTCGTTGGGGAAATCCATTCGGAACCTTGGCATCACTGATAGAATTTCATCTGATGTCTAATCATCAGATTATCTAGGTAGTCTGCTCGGCCTGAATTGGTTCTTCTGTTAGGATAAAGTTCCATGTGAGATTGATTACCTTATGTGACAGCGCTTTACAATGGGGATCTGAAGCATATTTCAAACAACTTCACTTCCATAGACGCTAAAAACAAATCGAGCCTCAGCCAACGGGAGTTACTTACAATCTCAGGGTCAGATAGATAGATTATACCCACAGTTGTTTACAGAAAAGTCGTTTGCATTTCGCCATCATTGGTCATTTTTAGGATCTGAATAACGTTAGTTTGTCCCCCTCAGACACACATCTGTTTTAAAGTATGCCACTATTCATGACATACGATGAGTGCATAAAGATTGATTCTGAACATCAATGTTTTTCACATTGCAACGCGCGAGTTTAGTGACAAGATCAGGCAAACAGAAAACACTGCCGGATCGCAGATTTGGTTTTAAAACAACCAAGACCACGTCACTCAAGTTGGTAGTATTCGGCTTCTTCACTCGATGTTCCAAGAATCCCCAATAGTTGTTCTCAAGGATAATTTTTAATCAATTTATCAGAAAAAAATTCTTGATGATTTTTGGCTTATAAAAATAACACCAACACGCCATACATCTCAATCCTTGATGTTATTGTACTTTTTGGCCTCACCATACGGGATACTAGCTTCTTATGGAGTTGAATTTTGCAGAATTCCAAACGGTAGAGCTCTCTTTTGGTCTCGATCAGATTCAGACCCATGCATGGGGTTGCCACCGGCGCATTAGTACCGCGTTCGCTCCATTCGCTAAGTTTCGAGGACGTTTCCAAAGTGGACTACGTTAGGTTTACCCCGCTCCCAAATTAAAGCGACGACCGCAATCTTGTGGCTCATTTGAGTTACGGAAGCGTAGTTGGTGTCCATGCGTCCGTTTGATTCTACTTAAAACTGGTGAATGCTGTTTCCCTCAATCTGTCAAAAAATGAGCAGCTAAAGTCTGTAACACACAAGAGCGATACTCTTCCGACAAGGGCTGCACGTGTGTGATCTGCAAAAACACAAAAGGAGGAGAAACTCCGTAAACCAAGGCTCAATAAGTGCATCAGTAGGCACCAGCACTTACATTAAACGAAGAACAAGACGGCAGCCTCCAATCTGGCCATTACAGTGCTCCCCCAACGAAAGAACACTGCCCCCAGTGTTCCGTGCTCCTCCAACACACACCACTGGAGCACTAAATCCCCAGGGACCACACATCGGACAGGCCACTCCAAAATCATCCGACAGGGTCCCGACGTGAGTTCTAAATCTTGGTCTACGCTTTGTCACTGTTTTTGTTTTTTTTTCTTCATTTTCTAGACAAGGATTCTATTTTATTAGGGTCACCTTTTTACTATTTTATGACTCACCGCCTTACGATTATTATGATCATTATCAATGCCCTTCATCTACCAAGAGCTTTAGAGTTGTGCATCTACTATAGCTGATAGTCTTGTGCGCCTTCCTCATGCTCTGTTTCGTGTTTGCCCACACATGATCATAGGCCAAACTTCGTTCCCGAATTCGTATTGCTGACGGTCGAGCCAAACCGATTGATCTGCTGGCCAAATACATCACGGATCAGGACGAGGACGTGATGGAGTTGGCCTCTGCCGATCTGTCCGGCGCCATCGAAGTTCTGGAACCTACCCAATTCTTGGTGGGTTTGGGTATGGATGATTTGGAGGACTTGTTAGAGGACATCAAGGTACGCGGTTTGTCTCTCCACGACAATCCTTTTCAGGACCACTAAAGTTTGTTTCACTGTGTTCGACCTCTCTCTTTGTGTTGCCAGTAAGGTTATCAGTTACATATAACTTTAATTCGTAACGACCGCTAAAATGTGGTTAAGTACTGATGAAATTAGGTACAACTCAGCTGTCTAGTTCTTCTGAACAAGGATGATAAATGTACTTGAAAAATTGGTGGCAAACTGTGATCCAATTGTATTGCATCTTGTCAACCGGCCATACTTATCAAACACTTATCAGACTGTGAAGTTCTTTGTAGATGTACGTTAGATGTAGGCATAAACCTTCTTCTAGGAATAGATTCAGTTGCTCATGATTTGTTGGTTTTCAGGACTAGCTACACGTTAAAATTGTCATATGGCAACTGGTTAGCCCCTTAGAGTACGGTCGATAAATATGTGGGAAGAAATAATACGTTCAGCGAAAACTGATCGTATGAGCATATACGCCCCGCGACACACTTCCAACCCCGTTCATTTCCATCATTATGAAACTTATAGTTACTCCAAGAATTTCTTCTCTTAACGGTTAGTAAAAGGTCCCATTCTAAATGAGAATACCAAGTTTCAGTCAGAAATCTTATGTTGGAGCGAAATATCGGTGCAGATAGGAAAATTAACCCTGAAAAAAGTACCCGACCTCCAAGCGTACTACGAAAACTTTCGGCGCAGGACGAATAATTAGGAAATTAATTTACCTTTCGGTAATTCAATAATCTCAACTACCATGTGGTCCCCTGGAACAAAAGCAGATAACCATTTCATCGTTGCGGTGTATGTAGTTAAAGATTTCAATAATCAAGAGACCATAGAGAACATATATGGGTCGAACCATAAACAGGTGAGTGGTGAATGCTAACGAATGACGACGGTGTCGAAATTCCTCATGCACTTGGACCATGCTATCAACCGAAACAGGTGTGTGTATATGTCTTATACGGATTTACTTTCGAGGATTTTTTTCCGTGCGACCCGTATTCGGAAATCTTAATAGTTTCAAGATGTCCTACTAAATAACCATTTCGGTGCTTACTGTTGAACAGGATTCGAGGTGTACCAGAATTGACCGATGGTGGTAGAGTGTTTTATGTTAATCAGTCGGTCAGCTGATTTCATCCTATCGTTAACCTCGCACTTCATTACTCTGATTTTGGCTATTACCTCACAGGGCCATCCGTTCGAGAGTAAATAAAATGAAAACACAAAGAGGAAATAAGCAGCCAAGGAAGGTGAAAGTGGAAAATCATATAGACAAAGGAAGATTTCGAATAGAAGGAAGTACGCCACTGACCGTGGCTAGGTGGTATCGCCTAAAGTCTCCGATCATCATAGTCATGGAATGCCGAGCGCACTGACTGTGGTTTTCATACTTTTTCTCCGAGTCATGAACTGACCGGCGGTGGTCAAATATTTTAGATCGTTTGCCTACCACATCGGAGGTTAGAAATTCGACAGTAATCCACTGACCTCCGGCTCGTTGCCACACCTCCATGTTTCATGGTCTGGTTGCTGACTATCCCTAATAGTGCCGTGGACCTTTAAGGCTCTGGGGTATACCCCATCCGTTGCGCACATGTGCAAGTATGAACAGCATATGCATAAATTGATCTCATCAGTGGGTATGCGTAACACATGTCCCAACCACTGTAATATGTTCCGATTAATTACTTGTTCTGCAAACTGATCTCATACCGAATCCCTTACGATTAACCTTATCACTGCTAATATGATGTTCACGCCATATTCGATCAGTGGTGTTCCAGTTGACTAATAAACCTGAGCGCGTGGATTCAAACCCCACAGCCACCGCCAACAGTCGACTTCAGTGGTAGACGGAGAGCAATATGCTCTCCCCCGGATTCGTTAGGGCCCACTTTGGTTCATTACACCCGATCTCAGTATTCAGACTGCTGGCTCGCCCACAGTACAATTAACATTTATGATTGCTCAGCGGTAGGGGAGTATTTGATTATTTGATTATTTATCCATTATTTCTAGGTGGTGTACATGCAGTTGGAAAAGGGTCGGAATGCGGAATACTGGCGTGATATTACCACAGTGGTAGAAGATGAACTACACAAATTGCGCCGTTTGGAGGGTGGTGCATGCGGAGCGGATAGTCGTGGACGAACTTCGGCCACAATAAGCCAATCAGTCATGCAAAGTGTAGCAGAAACACTCAAGGGAAAAACGTACAGTCATTTGGCTGCTTTGGAACGACAGGTAATTGTGAATTGTGGTCCTGACGATATTTACCACGTTGTCAACATTTTTGAATACACAGTTTTGTAAGAATCTTACTGATTATCTTAATTTGTTTTCAAAATTGCTGTCCGTTTGAAGCTAGTTGTCATCATCATCATCATCATCATCATCATCATCATCATCATCATCATCATCGTACAGCGTTAAACAGCATGACAAGACCCACTGAACACTGCCTTTCTCATCATCTTGCACGCTGAATTAGAAAGTATGACTATACAAGATGGACAGGAACTAGACCTACATGGGTGGGAAAAGGAAAGAATGCCCTAGTAACCAACACACAGAATACACAGCCTAACTGTACAAACGCACATCGATCAGTCATTTTGATTCAATAGAAAGTGACGACACGATCGCCACTGTTCACGGTTCGCTGCCATATCCTTCAGTGTCTCCAGCCAACTGGTAGACGGATCTTTTGGACCCCAACCACGAAGACGTGAAGCACCTACTTTTCCTAAGTCTGCTGTACATTTTCTCATTCCTTGCTGCCACGTCATCTGTTGGCCTCCATGTGGTTTTTCCCACTCCCTAGGAGGAACGGAGAATAGGACACGGTATGGCAGACGTGTGTTTGCTATACGTAACACGTGCACCAACCAACTAAGTCTACCAAGCTGGATACGCTGTTATAGATAACTCCCTGAAGTGGTAACTTATGCTCAATTTCTGACCCCATTATTGCTCACTCGGTCATTTCATCCAATCTTAACGATACTACGTGAACATCGATGATCGAAAACCTAAAGACAACGAATATTTTCTGCACGCAGACCCTATGTCTCGCAACTATACAACAGAATTGAACGCACTGCGGCACAGTATACACGACCTTTCAACTTCAGTGAAATGTCTGATCGCCGCCACAAGTGCTTCAGTCCGGCGTACGCCGCTCGAGCCTTGGATATCCGCGTGCTCACCGCTACTACTGTGCTCCCATTGGTCGTCACGCTGCTTCCGAGGTAACTAAAGCGGCGAGTTCCTCTTGATTGAGCATCAAGCTCGGTATCGTTGACGTCCAACCTTGCAACATCATTTTACACTTTGAAGATGCAAAGCGCATGCCAAATAGAGCTACAGCTCGTGCGAGTCTATCTAGTGTACGTTGAGCATGTTCCGTGCATTCGAACAAGCAGACAACGTCGTCTGCGTAACCTAGGTCACACAGCTTCACATTATTTCTTAGTTCGATGCCCACATCCTGGAGATCTTTCAAGACATTCTCCATTATTTCGTCCATGACGAAGTTAAACAAGAATGGAGAAATTGGACATCCCTGTCAAACACCGCTCATCGTTTCGAACCGACTGGATAGTTCGCCGTAAACGTTTTACGCGGCCAGAAGTATGAGAGTATAACGACAGTAGATTCACGAACTTTTGGGGCATACCTTTCGGTGAGAACCACTGAAAGCACTGTCCAGTCAACTGAATCGAAAGCACCTTTCAAGTCGAGGAAAACCATTATTGTCGGTCGACGCTGTTCGCGACGCACCTCCAGTAATTGGCAATGAGTAGAAATCTGATCAATGCAACCTCGACCTGTTGTTCGCGGGTGTTCCTCTCGTCAGCCGGTGTGAGATAACGCGGCAAAATCGAGACTAATATCTTGGTGACTATCGGAATTAGGCTAATCCCACGATAATTACTACAGTCATTGCGTATCCTCTTCTTGAAGATGGGTATAATCGATGACTCACCCCATAATAGCGGGATACGTAACGGAGCAAGGTGGTAAGTGGTTCCATCAATGCGACACCAGCCATTTTGATAAGAACTAGGGGGAGCTCGTCAGGACGGGCCGCTTCCCTTCCCTTTAGTAGGCGAATGCACGATTCTACTTCTACTTCCGATGAGGGTTCAAGTGATACTCCCACAGGAATCGCAGTTGTTGACACAGGAGTAACTACGTTACCGAGCGGTCAACTAGACTGTTCCTCGAAGTATTCGGCCCAACGGTCCAGCTTTGATCTCTGCTATGAATGGGCTCTCCACTTCTATCTCGAATCGTTTCGCTGACCGGAAGTCGCCGTCCACCGGTGTCACGAATAAGTTTGAACAGTCTTTGACTGTTACCTGAAGCAGCCGCTATTTCCATTTCTTCGGCAACCTTGACCCACCAATTTTTGCGATCATTCTTTTTGTAACTTGCTTCTGTAGATGTATTCGTATCTTATTCATCTCCTCAGTTCGAGAACTGACGATTTTGCTCCATTATACTCAACGACTCTTGCGAAATCCAGTGTCTCTGATGGACAACGGATCTAGGATTACAGGCGAAACCTGCTGCAAAGTGCATCACCTGTTCGATATGGGCCCATTGCTCATCTACAATACTGTTCATCGCAGATCCTAGCTCATGTGCTAACTTCTGTTCAAAACGGGTGCGTACTTCTGGATCACATACGTTGCACGGCTAACCGGGTTTGCGGTTTGCGACGATGACCATGGAGCTGGAAAGATAATCTCATTAAAACTAATGCATGGTCAGACTCTACGTATGTAGACCAGTGGGATCTACAGTTCTGAGGAGAACTGCGCCATCGGTAGCTTACGGCGATATGATCAATCTGACTCAAGGTACCTGTAGAGTTAGAGCGCTATGTCGCTGTACGACTCGAGATGTGGCTAGCGTCAGAACCACTTGGCTCTGAGTCTAGACACATGGCAAGGGTAGACTCGTCCAAGTTCGGGACCGAGTTATCACTAACCATTTAGTCAGATTAAGTTTAAACGTAGTACACCAAACCGAGTGAAAAAGTGAGAAAAATTGGTAGCAACCTCACGGATAAGCGACGATAACACAAACAACGAGGAAGCGCAGCAAAACCGTGATCAGAAACGTCCTGCTCTCACACCATATTCCACGCCACCTCTGTGATATCCTCGAAATTAGTGACTTTTTCAATCTTTTACTTATTATTTACCATCAGGGTCGCGTTTGCAGTACTCCAACAAAAAGTATTGGTGCAAAAGGCGTTCCATCGTAGAGGTGGTAGTTTCATACATTACTACGAAAACCAGGCGGATTCACATGCACCTTGCGCACTACAGCTGTGTCTGAGAAGCCAGTTATATGCAGATCGATAGATTTTCCTCTCCTTTACCTCAATCGTAATTCGCTGTCGTCTGGATCCTTACTACACCTGACCTATTGGGATCTTATGTGGTTCTCCACTGCAAGTCTTAGGGTCTGGTCGCCAGTTATCTTTAGTAGTGCAGTGGGCCTTCGTGGTTATGGGGTGTATACCGCTTCCACTACACTCATGCGCAAGCATGCAATAAAAAACTACGTGGGAGGAAAGAACAGGCATACAGAAGCAGGCGAGAGTTTGAAGTAAAGCGGACTCTGAACCTAATAAAATTGGAAGTCGAACTTCTGAATAGGCTATATTTAGATACCATCCTAGAAAACTCAAGTTGTCGGAATTTGTGGCGTGTTATAAAAGGGCTTTGTGGCAATAATTCAAAGAGCGGGGACGGTAACCGTCCCGTTGACGTCGAAGAACTCAACAAAGATTTTGGTTTGGTGCTTCAGGATATCTGTTTGCCTGCTATAGGAGCACTACTGAGCCTCCTCAAATCGAGCCCACGGCTGCTTGGAAGCAGCTGAGACAGTGAAGACCAGTAAAGCCTCCGGCCACGATGGTTTATCTTCTGGTGTTCTGAGAGTGTGTCTCGATGCTCTGTTGGGTCCTTTGGGAGATATTTTCAATTGTTGTCTGAAAAGCGGTAAGATTCCCAACAATTGGAGAGGTGCAAGAATAACGCCTGTCCCCCAAAAGGAGCCTGGTACATACCGCCCCATCGCATGCACGTCTATGATGCTCAAGACACTGGAGAAAATTTTGTTACCACATTGTCACTGAGAATGCTGCGGAAAATGGTCATCCTGGTCCACCCTTGACGCCATAGCGTCGTTTGATGGTATGATATCCTCACCACTTCCTGTCAGTGGTGGTGTCGTACAGGGCGCTATCTTTTCACCCTACTTCCTTTCCTTGCACATAAAACGGTTACCCATGCCATCTTCATTTATTTCATGTATATATGCAGGTGACGTCGTTTTTATGATTTGAGCGTTGTAGACCAGAGGTCACTCCCATAATCCAAAGCAGGCTAGACTATACTGTAAATTGGTCCTCTTCCTGTTTCCTAAATTTGAATGCATCTAAATGTCGCAGTGTATCAAATAAAAATAGTATTGACAAATTTCCTCTGTTTGTTGTCCACAGCGGGCATATTCCCGCATTGTCCACAATCGTATACTTCGGAGTTTTACTCGCCCACGTCTTGCTCTATGCACGTCAGTGACGTGACTTACAAATTTAGAAAACTGTCCTTTTTCTTTCTCAGACTGCATATACTCTCCTTACCTTATAAATGCATTTAAGAATTTGTAAACGGTTGCATTATTCGCGACTGGCTTTACTGCTCCCCAGAAATGTTTTCCTGATTTGCTGGAAAAAGACTTTCGTTTGATTATAAGATTCACAGAACAAATGTCTAGATGCGGTGACATATCTAGAGTTACACCTTCTAACACCATCGTAAACAAACACTTGTGCTTGTGATAATTTTACTTCCAAAATTCTCTCTGATTCCCGTCATCCTCTACACAGTGAATTTTACTAAGTCTGTATCTACATCCTCCACACGCTCTAAGTTCAGAATGCTGATTACCCACATCTCTGCTTCTCGTAATTCTGTTTTGCCATATCTCGCTCGTCTACTTGTTAATCGCAAGGTTCTCTCAGAACTGCGAAACTTCTTAAATGTCGAACTTTAATCCATTTTAAATCTTTTATCCCGTTATGGAAATTATGCATACATTGCGTTATTTTAGCCATAGAAATGATGTAGGAGGCTGAAGATCCATCCGTTTGGGTGTATAAAGCAACTACTGACTTGACTTTTGTTCATAACGCAATTGCTGATGGGAAATTCCATCGTGTG